TCTGAAGATTGGCAGGGCGTATGTGTTGATGGCATGGATCTTGTTCTTCCCATTGAGCTGGCTCGTCTTATCCTTTGGGGGTTCTTTGATTTTGCTGCCTTCTTTGCCTCCTCATCATGGTTCCCATGTGACTGTGGGACACCAAGGTATTTATAGCTGGTCTCTATGTCTGGTACGTGGTGCACTGGTAGTTCCACCCTACTGGTCTTAACTACCTTCCCTCTCTTTACTACCATCCGGCCACACTTCTCCAGTCCAAATGACGTCCCAATGTCCTCACTGTAGATGCATGTCAGATGGATCAGTGAGTCAAGTGTCTCATTCACTCTTAGCATACAGCTTGATGTCATCCATGTAGAGGAGGTGGCTGATGGTGATTCCATTCTTGAACTTGTACCCATTTAACTATGGAAGTAATAATTTATTATTATTTCCATAGTTAAAGGGAAACACTTGCAGTGGACTATACAGATGTAAATTATTTTGTAGTGATTGGAAATACTTAGTAATTTAATGAAAAGGAGTTTTTTTTCCCAGATATTGTGCCAAAGAAGATCTTGGCGAGCAAATACTTAAAAATGCTTGAAAAAGAAAAAGAAGGAAAAGAGACAAAGGAGGAAGAAGAGGAAGAGGAGGAAAGTGAAGCTGAAGAAGCAACTTGACAGTAAAGCAGGTCAATTTACATTATGGCCTTGTTGTATGAACACTTTTTAATGACTTGTGGTCAAGTAAATTCCTACATCCTTGAACCAATGAATTCTCAGAATTGCCAGTTTGTGTACAATTACTCTGCAGAATATGACAAAGACTTCCATGTGGGACTGAACACATATGCAGATCCTTGTTTTTCATCTTGAGCTTACAAACACGATTATATGGATGCCTGCTCGTAATATACCAAACATTCTTGTTAATTGAATACTGTATTTTCAATAGAGAATCATCTTCTCTGCCCACATTGGGCAAATCTAAAAGTTTATAACTACTTTTACATGCCAATATTATTGCTTGCTTTCCTTTCAGTGTAAGTTAATAAAAAATGTTTCAGATTCCCTAAAAGTGAACTGTTTATATGAATAGTTGTATATAAGCTGGACTAGCTTCTGTTGGAGTAATGTTACACTGCTGTAAATAAAAAGGAATTCCGGGGTTTTGTATAAATACATATATGGGGAAGTTTGAAAAAAATCAGTGTGGATCCTTGTATGGTTTGAGATGACATTTGTACAGCAGGAGACTGAGTAAAAGAACACCAAGGTTTTTTTCCTATCAAAAACACTTTAACATTTCTTTCACAAATGACCAAGTTCACAAGGGAGGTTGTTAGTCAATTTGTGTATGTGTGTGTATGGAGAAAAGACTGAGCATGCCAGTCAAAGCAGTGCCACTCCTTAGGGTGGTGGGCATTGAGCAATAAGAAAATAAAATTAAGCCCTTTCTTTGGAACTGAAGCAAGAATCATCTTTTTTTAGCAAAGGAGGAATTGGCTTGAAACCATTTGGCTCAGTTCACCCAGCACAGTACAAGTAGTCCTCAGGTTACAATGGCGATTGGGACCGGAATTTCCATCGCTAAGTGCAGCAGTTGTAAAGCGAGACGTTGTGTGACCACGTTGCTTAGCAACCGTAGGCATGGTTGCTGTCCTAACCCCAGGACCGCGCGGATTGTTAAGCAGGAAGAGGCAGGAGTCCCGAGCAAGGCCAGCAGGTGCCCCCTACAGGCAGGAGGATGCCGCAGGGGGGGAGCGTGGACAGGTGCTGCAGAGGGTGCCACAGACAGGCACTACAGAGTGTGGGGGGACAGGTAAAAAAGTGGCGGGAAGAACTTGTGACCTCTTGCTGGCTTCCCCATTGATTCTGCTTGTGGGAAGCCAGCAGGGAATGTCAGAAACCGCGACTGTATGACTGTGGCTCGCTGCAACATCATTGCGAGCCAGGCACTGAGTGCCTGGATCACGATTGCATGACTGCGGGGATGCTGCAACAGCTGGAACTCTGAGGACCGGTCGTAAGTCCCTCTCGTTCAGCACCATTGTAACTTCGTACAGTTGTTGAATAAGTGGTCGTAACCTGTAGACTACCCGCAGACCAAAAGCATGGCTGACTAGTTTGTGGCTGTATCTGTGGCTTGGACACAGCTTCATTAGGAAAAGGCTAGTCCCACGCAGGGGTGGAAAAGATTGATGAGAGGACAGATTCAAGATAAAAGATGTAAATTGCTGCACATGCTACCTGCTGAAGTGATAGATGCCAATTCACATCTTTTTAAAAAGGGACCGGGTAAGTTTATGGAGGATAGATCTGTTTGTGACTACTTGTGCAACTGTTGCATAGCCTACAAAGTTCTTAGAAGGAGAACCCTTTTAGCAGCACAACACACAGAATCTGTGGTAAGTGAAAATCAGTGGGTGTTTTTCCCTCCCAAGTTTATATGGCTCACAGCAGACTTCCAGCAGTTGCACGAAGTGCAGTTCTGAAGCAAGCTAGGCAGCCATCATAAAAGGGCACGCACAGGCTGAGTTCCCACCTGATAAAGTGGTTTTCTTGGTTGGGCTCACATAATACAGTATACCCTAAACAACTGGTTCAATTCAATAAAACATGGTTAAGCAAACCATGAGTTGTGTGAATACAGTTGCTCTAAATTAATTTCTTGAGATGATAGTAAACTCATTGTCTCATATCTTGTAAACAAAACATGTACTGGCAAAGTGAAGTCTCCACAGCAACATCTTATAATCTGACCATCGTGTAAAATAGTTGAATAGCAGACCAGTCCTTGCGAGCCATGCCAAGTTTGCCTTTTCAATGACAGGAGACTGAACTGGAACCCCAAGTTACCACTGTTTAATTCAGCTTTCATGGGGTTGTTGGGGTAAGTGGGGGAAGATTGTCTACATACCCTGAGCTCTTTGGATTATTACTGTTCTAGGTATAAAAAAATAATACTTTTGAATGTGTAAATATGAGTAATTTATTGACATACTATGAGGCAGAAACAAAATTGACACCATACAAAATAACTTTATAAAATATCATTCACATGTTTCATCAAGATTTACAGCACTTTGAGCTTGTTACAAGGTCTTATGGTATGGAGGTAAAAAAAAAACACTATGCTAAATCTTTAGTAGCACTTTATAGTATATATACACACATACACAAGAAGAAACCAAAGTATAAGGTTAGTTTGTCATTTTATTGCAGAAGTAGTGCAAAGTATTTTTACTAGCAAGCTGTAAAACAAACATGGAAAGAGGAATCGCCCAAGCTTAAAAACAGGACAATAAATGTGGCGTTTCACAGTCTTTTGAAGCTTCCTTCTGAGTTTTTCTCTCCCCGCCACCCCTACTTCCCAAATTCTTCCCTCTTCATCCACATCACAATCCATCTGGGGAATGAAAAAGTCCACATTAAGAAACTTGGATCCACGGTATCTAAGCAACAAGACAAGTGTTGCTCAAATTGGCTTGGGTACTAATTCCATATATGGAGCAAGTATGGTTTTGGTGTAAGTGTGGCTCAGCTTCACAGCTAGGTTGGTCCTAGCTGGTTCGTTAGCTTGGTCAAGAAATCATTATTAGAGATCAAACTATTAAGATTTGCTTTTTACCAACTGGAAAACAACACACTACCCCTCCCAGTTTCAATCATGGCAAACCACGATAATGCAAGTATGTATCATAAAGGAACATATATTGCCTGTTTTACCATCTGGGGATCCTTTTTCTCAACATCTATTGTGTAAAAACAGTTACTACGACAGTCTACAATGCAAGGCAGACTTGATATCAACATTGGACTAACACCAATAAAGGATCAGCGCATCTAACCAAGTGAAGAGAGACCAATTCTAAATTCTTCAGCCGAGCCAACAATACAAATTTAAAAGCTAGGTAGCCAATAACAATACAACTAACAAAAGGACACCCCCCCACCCCCCCCCCCCCAACCCCTATCACCACTCAAGAACAAAAAAAAACAAACTACAGAGCGGGCTGCAAGTTCAAGGCCACTGCATCGTTTTTTCTTC